AATGGGAGGAGGAGAACGAGGAGGAGGAGGAGGAGGAAGGAGGAGGAGGGAGGGAGGGAGGGAGGGAGGGAGGGAGGGAGGGAGGGACGGAGGGAGGGACGACGGAGGGGAGGGGACGGAGGGAGGGGCGGCTCGCCGCCGAGCAGCGGGTCGCACCTGGGGGGGGGGGGTTGCGCCGGCTCCCGATCACAGTGCTCTCAGCGCGCGGCAGACACGCGGCCGCCCGGAGGAGGAGGAGGAGGAGGAGGACTGGGGGCAACCTGTACTGCCGCTGAAAACTACACTCTGCTGAACCTCGGACGCCGGGCAACCGCCGAGAACACGCGCGCACTTCTTGCCCACTGGCACCGGACGAGCCCCGCGGCGAGAAACGGAGCGAGAAACGCGGGGAGGGGGGACGGAGGGCACGCGCAAGACGGACCTAGGCCGCCGGGGCAAGAGCAGGACGCTAAGAACACACGCGAACCTATATCTATATACATATATATATATACATCGATATATATATATATATATATATATATATATATATATATACACAGTACATGTACAAGACTGCATTGGCGCTTCGCGCCATGCACCTGGGTCCTTGAGGCTCTGCATCTGTTGGTCGTTCGCACCATGAGAGTTCGGGCGGTCCCTGGCCCTTCCCGGGCCTCTGGGGGCTCCCGAAAGGCGCCGGGTGCAGGGCGAAGGATAGGAGGGAGGGGACCTCGGAGAGCGAGGAAAGGACGCGGATGTGGATGTGGGGGAGGACCAGCAGAATGAAGAGGAGGAGGAGGAGGAGGAGGAGGAGGAGGAGGAGGAGGAGGAGGGCGCCGTCGGGGGACGGCGAAGAATGTTGCAGCGGGTTGCAGCGGGTCGCAACGGGGCACGCGAACGCACATAATTCTTAGGGAATGCACCAAATCACGGGTTCGCAACAGATTTCCGGGATCTGTGGTTGCGAGCCCGGGATTCGGGTTAGTTTGGTGGAGCCCGCCGTGTGGGCCTTGTTGGAGCCCTGGTGGGCCAGTTGGCTTGGGGCCGTCTCGAGCCGTCTTGGGGCCATCCTGGGCCGTGTTGGGGAGCTTAGGGGCCTTACGGTGGCTACGTTGGCCCTCCTGGTGGCCTCCCACGGCCTTTTGGGGGGCCTCCCATGGCCTTCTGGGCTTCTCTTGGGGGCCTTGTGAGGGCCTGTTGGGCTTCTGTTTTGCTCAGTTGGGGCCCCCCTGGGCAGCCCCAGGGCCGTCCAGGCCGTCTAGAGGCCCCCCCCCGGAGGTCTCTTGGGCCGTCTGGCGGCGAAACCGGAGGCCTTCATTGCTGCTATGGACGCTGCTAAGATCCGAACAGCGAATGCGCTGAAAAGGCACGTTTCCCCGGGGCGAAACGACTAGAGGCTCTCTTGGAGGTCTCTTGGGCCGTCTGGCGGCGAAACCGGAGGCCTTCATTGCTGCTATGGACGCTGCTGGGGTCTGGGCAGCGAATGTGCTGGGGGGGCACGTTTCCCCGGGGCGAAACAGACCCCCTGCATTCTGGGAGCCCTGTTGAGGGCCTCCTGGGCCGTCTTGGGGGCCTCTGGAGGCCCTCTTGGTCCTTCTTGGAGGGCTCTTGTGCTGTCTTGGGTCTTTCTTCGGCCTCTCTGATCACTGCTCTGATTGCTTCGGGGCCGTGTGAGGGCCTGCTGGGCCTCTTTTTGCCTCAGTTGGGGCTTCCTTGGGCAGTCCTGGGGCCATCCAGACCGTCTAGAGGCTCTCCTGGGGGTCTATTGGGCCGTCTGGGGGCGAAGCCAGAGGCCTTCTTGGCTGCTTTGGGCGCTGCTAAGACCCGAACAGCGGATGTGCTGAGAAGGCACGTTTTTCCTGGGGGAGCGCACCGATTTCTGCATTCTGGGAGCCCTGTTGAGGGCCTCCTGGGCCGTCTTGGGGGCCTCTGGAGGCCCCATGGAGCGCTCTTGTGCTGTATTGGGTCTCTCTTCGGCCTCTCTGATCACCGCTCTGATCGCTTGGGGCCTGCTGGCAGGACCCGGCTAAGCGCCCTGGGAGGTAGGGACCTTTGACGGGGGTGTCCGGGGGGCCCCAGAAACTCGCTATCCTAGGGGTCCAATTTGGGGGGGGGGGCGGGGTTGTCCCACCCCCCCAGCTTGTAAACGCGTAGGGAGGATGTGCACGTACATGGGCACACACACACACGTATCTATATCTATTCTAAAAATTTAAACGTTTATATATATATATATATATATAAGACAGAGAAACAACAACAGAGAGAGGCGGAATAGGACACAGACGACACATCAGGTCGCAGTGCACCTTCCTGTTCCTGCTGCACTCTGATGTGTCCTGCTCTTCCTCCTCCTCCCCCTATCAGATCCTCCTTGTCATTCTCCGCCAGCTTCTTCTCCTACTTCTCCTCCACCTCATTCTCTTCTCATGCTCCATGCCCTCTTCCTCCTCCTCCTCCTCCTCCTCCTCCTCCTCCTCCTCCTCCTCTTCCTCCTTCACGTCCTTCTCCTCCTACTCTTCTCCCTCCTCCTCCTCCTCCTCCTCCTCCTCCTCCTCCTCCTCCTCCTCCACTGTCCTCTTCCCTCTCCCACTCCGCTTCCTCATCCTCTTCTTTCTTCCCCCGCTGCCCTTACCCACAATTTGTCCGTCTCTTCCCTCCTCCATGCTCCTCCTTCTCCTCAACATTAGTGTCTCTCCTGTCTCCTCTGCCTCCCCCTCCCCCTTCCGTCTCATTGCTCCTCCTCCTGCCTCTCCCAGGGTTGGCGCGGGATCGCGCCTCCTTCCCGGTGCGCCCTGCTGTGCCGGCTCCTCTACACACTTCCCCCCACTCCACAATTACCGAATTATCATGAATAGAGCCTGTTTTTTTAAGACTCTGGCAAGTTTACTTGCATGGACGGGGGGGGGCTGAGCCTGAAGCAAGCCGCAAACGACTTGGACGTTTGGGGGGGCGCGGGGGTCACGCAAGTCGGGGGCCGCTTGCGCGCTGGTGCTCGCTTGGGGGGGGGCGGGGGGGGGGGGGGGGGGGCGAACGCCATGCAAGTAAACTTGCCTCAATCCAAAAAAAACAGGCTCATACTAAGTTCCACTCTCCCCTGGCTCTGTCCGGGGGGTGACCGGCCCTCTCCGCGTACTGATTTTCTTACACGCAAGGTTTCGGGCGGTGGTGTGTCTTGCGGCGTGTTTTGAAATCCGATAGTTGTTGGTGTTTCAAAGTGGTGCTCCCTCATTTTAGGATCGTCACGCTGCTTTCATCGTTTAAAATGACGCTCTCTCCCCAGCGCGGGCCACTTTTCTGTATCCGAGTCCTTCTTCATCGTGGTCGCCCCCCATCTCCTCTCCTCCGCAGGATGGCGGCGAGAAAGGAAGCTTGGGAGACAAGCTTGGTGTGCTCACGCGACGTCCGACATCTATACACTCCCTCCCATCCCTTCCCAATGCGCTGTTTTTTCTCTATCCGCGGACGCGTGTTCTAGCCGACCAACCTGGAAATCCAAAACAAACCACGCAGTCGGAAAAGGGGAGCTGTGTAATTTTTCACATGGGGAAGAGAAGGTCCGGGGGGGGGCGGGAGGAGGAGGACGAGGAGGAGGAGGAGGAGGAGGAGGAGGAGGAGGAGGAGGAGGAGGAGGAAGGGGGAGAACGAGGACGAACGGCAGGAGCAGAAGCTGGAGTGGAAGGAGCGGGAGGAGCTGGAGGATCAGGGGGAGTGCTCCCCCCTCTCTCTTTTGTCCTCCTCCTCCTCCCTCCTCCTCCTCCTCCTCCTCCTCCTCCTCCTCCCCCTCCTCCTCCTCCAGAAGAGGACGACGACAACCAGAGCCTTCTCTCACTTCTCCGGGCTCCCTCCCTCTCCTCCTTGCCGCCGCAGGGTGCCCGCGCTGGGACGCGCTGGCGCCCGGGCACCCCGAACGGAGCGGATCCTGGGAGAAGCGGGCCCAGGGGCCCAGGACCAACTGTTCCTTTGAGGGAGGAAAAACGACCCTACCCTGGGTTACAAGTGCGTGGTCTGTAAACCTCCTGGGAAACCTCAAAGCCTAGAGCCGCCAAGACGCGGCACATCACGCAGGGTCTAGCCTGTCAGCCCACAGGAGTTTCAGCGAACAGCGCCTCGTAAACCAGGGTAGGGGCGTTCTTTCTGCCCGAAGACCAAACCTGGCGGGCGCAGGCCTGGAACACAACGGCCGCGGCGCCCTCCCGAGAACCGAAAACGGACAATCCACGAATCGACGTGTCACTGTTGGGGGTTCTTAGGGGGAAAACAAACCTACCTCGCTTTTGACCACCCTCGCTTCCAAGAGATACCAAGCGATGCCAAACTACGGCCTGTACTGGTCAGGCCGCTCGACGGGGAGGCGCGTGGCATGACTTGTCATTTCCTGGAAGCGAAAGCGGAGTAATTAGGTAATTCACGCTCTGAGTTCTGTCCGCCCCCGACCTTCCTTCATCCCGAATCCGCCTCCTGACGGCCCCGGGAGCCCGCCGGGGGCCCCGGGAGGCCCAGGGCGGCAGAGCCGCCGGGCCCCCCCCTCTCCCCCTCGAGGCCCCCGGGCGCGAGCCCGCGCGGCGGCGGCGCCCCACGCGCGGGCGCGGCCGCCTCCCGCGCGCCGGCCGCCAGGGAGGCGAGGCAGCATCGGCGCCATCGCATTCCAGAGCGCTCCCCCTCCACACCCCTCACTCCTGCCTCCTCTCGTGCCGGGCGAAGGGGGGGGGGGGGGATAGCAAAGGGGGGGTTCGAGAATCAGCTCACGGAGCTGATTTCCCCAGCGCCTCTCGGCGCCGGAGGCGGTCATGCATCGAGGAACGGGCCCCGGGCCCCTCGGCGGGGCCGGGGCCAGCGGCGCGCGGCGGGTTTCGTTCCCCCCCCCCTTTTTTTCGTCTGGCCCGGTCCTCTCGCGCCTCCTCCTCGCGCCTCCTCCTCGCGCCTCCTCGCGCCTCCTCGGCCTCCTCGTCGTCTGCAGGGGCGGCCGCGGCGGTGCCCCCGCGGCGGTGCCCCGCGGCGGCGGCCGGCGGCGCCGCCTCGTGGATGCGCTGCAGCAGCTTCTCTAGGCGGCCCAGGCAGTACGAGGCGTTCTCGGGCACCTCTGGCCGGTCCAGCTCGATGTCCGCCTCCGCGCCGCGGCGCTCGCGGCAGGGTGCTGCGGCAGGGGGGAGCCACCAGTGGGCGCTGCCCCGCTCCCCCAATAGACTCGAAGTTGGGCCCGCGCCGGGGGAGACTGCGCGGTCGAAGTGCGACTCGCCAGACCCACCGCCAACTCTGCACGGTGGGGGGGAGGGGGGAGGCGTTGACCGATGCATGTGGCATGCGTGTTCGCTGTTTCTTCCCGAGGCCTGAACCGTCGGGTGCTGGAAACGCCCTTTTTAGGGGCATCCTCGGGGCGCCCTGTGGCGGGGGGGGGGAGGGGGAAGGGGGAGGGAGGGTGGAGGGGGGAACGCGCAACTAACTAGTCCGGGCGCCCCCGGGCGCGACGCGAGCCGCAGCGCCTCGCGCCTCGCGGCTTCCGCGCCGCCCGCCCGGGCCGGCGGCGCCAGGGGCAGGGCGGCGGCGCGCGGCGGCAGCGCCGGTGCGGCGGCGCGGGATGCTGGGGACGCGCACGTGGCTCCAATCGTGCCCTCGCCATCGCTCGGACGTCCATTCCCTGTGTTTTTTTTCGGTTTCGTGCGTGTTTCTTTCGCCAAATGATCAAGGATGCTCCTCGATGGTCCTCGCCGAGGGGGGGCAGCACACGTCCGAGCGATGCCAAGTGCCTGGAGCAGCCGGAGGTTCACGGGCTGGATGCGCATGCGGAGATGCGGAGGCCCGACGTGCACGGCCACACAAACGGGCCGAGCGCTGGAACACGGGAGCTGGCCGCAGGCGTAGTTGTCCGCTCCTCGCCCAGGCCAGCCGGGCCACCTGCATCTGGCCAGCTCGAGGACGCAGGAGGAGGAGGAGGAGGAGGAGGAGGAGGAGGAGGAGGAGGAGGAGGAAGAGGAGGAGGAGGAGGAGGAGGAGGAGGAGGAGGAGGAGGAGGGGGTCAGTCCGAAACCGGGTCGGTCGGGCCCTGCAGGATCCTGCAACAGCCTCCAGGACCTTGCAGAGTCCTGCGCGCAGACCCGGGGTCGGTGCACCCCTTGCCCTGCAGGATCCTGCAAGACCTGGCGCTCTGGCTGACCCCCGTTTGCATTGACCCCCGTCTCTTGAGCCCTTATGCCAGCTTTAGGTCGGGCGTGTCCTCCTACAGGGGGGATATTGGACGAAAAATGACAAAGATCCCCCAACTATACTCGACAAATGCTAGAAAAGTCGTCCCAAGACTATTTTTGACTGTTTTCCATGTTTCTCCTGTAGAGGGACGCGCCCGACTTGATGCCAGCTCCCGCCAGGCTCCCGAGGGGCCTTGTGACCAGGCTGCTGGCAGGTTGTGCCAGCAGCCCCAGGACCTGCCTCCTCCTCCTCCCTCCTCCTCCTCCTCCTCCTCCTCCTCCACCCTCCCCCTCCTCCCCTCCTCCTCCTCCTCCTCCTCCTCCTCATCCTCCTCCTCATCCCTCCTCCTCCCCTGCCTCCTGCTCCTCCTCCTCCTCTCCTCCTCCTCCTCCTCCCCCCCTCCTCTCCCCTCCTCCTCCTCCTCCTCCCTCTCCTCCCTTCTCCTCCTCCTCCTCTCTCCCTCCTCCTCCTCCTCCTCCACCCTCCCCTCCTCCTCCTCCTCCTCCTCCTCCTCCTCTCCTCCTCCTCCTCCTCCTCCTCCTCTTCTCCTCCTCCACCCTCCCCCTCCCCTCCCCCTCCCCCCCTCCTCCTCCTCCTCCGCCCTCCTCCTCCTCCTCCTCCTCCTCCTCCTCCTCCTCCTCCTCTCCGTGCCGACTGGCGGCCAGCTATCCGCCTTCGCTCGGCAGCGCGCCAGGGAGCCCGTCCTCGGGCGGCCCCAGCAGATCATCAGGTTCGGGCTTCCGGCTTCGGGAGCGCGGCTTCGGGCGCCAGAACAGCAACACACCATGTCCTAGCCTCGAACGTAATTATCCCTATCCCTAAGATTGACACGCCAAAAGGCGATGCCAATCTTAGGGATTCGCCCTCAAAAAATAAGCGAATCCCTAAGATTGGCACCGTGATGAGGAGGTGCCCAGCATAGGGATAGGGATATGTTCCAGGCTGGTAAACAATCCCGACGAGAAAACAAACCTGGAGGTCGACGGGATGCCCGGGGTCCAAATCGAGCCGCCAAATGTCTAGGCTGGCTGCGCGCTGGATGGGGTGGGAATACCCCTGCGTCGTTTAAGGGCCCCAGGGACACGCAAAAAAATACACACTAATCCCAGGCTGCCCCACAGTTTCCCATGTTTTCTGGGTTCTCGTCTCCTACCCCATCTCCCATGCTTTCCTATCTTTTCCGGGCAGTCGACGATTGATTGTGGCTGTGTCAGTTTTTACCCTCCTGATCTGGGCTAGCTTTAGGTCAGGCCTGTCCCCCTCCAGGGGGATTTTCGACGAAAACTAAAAAATATTCAAAACAAATAAGATAAAAAAATATCCAAAAATAGCCTGGAAACTATTGTTTGAATATTTGTTGGCCTTTGGGGGGAATTTTTGTGGTATGTTTTATGTTTCGTGGAAAATCCCCCTCCAGGGGGACAGGCCCGACATAAGGCGAGCTGCACGCTGGAGGGGGTGGGAACACCCGCTCGTCGTCACGGCGACGCGGCGCGAGAGGCGGGCCAGGGCGAGTCCCAGGAGGTCGGGAGACTGGCCTGGGCCGGCGCTGGTCGGACCTGGGGTAAAGAGGGGGCCCTTCTGAGAGTGCTCCCCGACCGCGAACGACACCCCTGCGCCCCCTTTTACCCTACTTCTGCTCGGCTTCGGCTACCCTGCGCATTCCCCTCCCATTCGCTGCATTCCCTTCCCCACCTCCTTCTGCCCTCTCCCACGCACCCCTCGTTACCTCACCCTCCTTTTCCTCCTGTGGACCCTTCCGCACACACTCATCGTTACCTGCCGCCGTATCCGACCTAGTTGGGTGATTTCTGATCGCGCCCCCATATAGGAACCAAATCACGTCTAATTGCCCCCGCTCTGTTTGGAGGTACCTTGGGCATCCTACTGATCCTGCTTGAGCTCCAGCTCCTCCTCGTCCCTCCTCCAACCCTTCCTCCTCTTGGTCCTCCTCTTGGTCCTCCTCTTGGTCCTCCTCCTCCTCCTCCTGCTCCTCCTCCTCCTGCTCCTCTGTATCTTTCTCGTGCCCTATCGCGCGCCGCCCGTCTCCAGGTCGCCACCCTCACCCTTACCCTCCCACCCCCCTCGTACTCGTCCTCCGCCACCCTGCCTTCCCATTGGCAGGATTACTCGACTCTTCTCTTTCTTCTCTGGACCCTCCACCACGTACTCCTCGTTACCCCCGCCGCACCCGTCTTCACCCCCTCACTCCTCACCCACCTCACCACGTTCTCCCCATCCTGAGCCTCCTGGTCCTCCTCCTCCCCCCCGCCCCCACCCTCTCCACAACCCCTGCAGCCTCTCCCGCATACTCCTCCACCTCGCCCCCTCGCTCACCTCTAGCATCCTTGCTCTTCTCCCTCCTGCCCCTCCGCATCGTCTGCAATCTCTTCTCCCAAATTGCATTGCTGCTTCTGGAATGGCCGGAAGCCGTCCCGGGTGTATGCCAACGCGGTGCAGGTGCGGGACCTCACTGCATGTTCCCGGCGTGGACGGGGCCGTTCTGGTTCGGGCCTCTGCGTTCCTGGTGTCGGCGAGCAGGTTTTGGTTGTGAGCTGCTGTTCCTGGTGTGATCTCTGACCCACAGGAGCCCAAGGCTGTCCAAAGACGGCTCAAAATGAGCTCCAAGAGAGCTCCTCAACATGTCAAAAACAAATGGTGCCACGTTTGGCTGCCTTTCGTTTGAGCTGTGCTATCCGGCTGGCTGAGCTGTCACGGTGACGGACTGCCCCAATGCAGATGGCTTATGTGTATATATTTATACACACAGTTATACATTTGTACATCCCCAGGCCGTAAGTTTTTCCTCTTGAACAAAAAATGTGAGAACACCGATGGATCCAATTTGACCCTTTTTTCGTGTGTGCGACAGCGTCGTGGATCTTATTTCTGTGTTGCGCGGATCCAATTTCCAGCATGTGAAAACCAATGGATCCATTTACTTTCCGGAAATAAATAGAATGATTAGCATCCCGGAACCAGGGGAAATAGGATCCGCGGGGCACCGCACGTGAAGCATCATACCATCCGCGGAACAGCGCATCTGCTGACCAAAGCTAACTATAATTATACGGGGGAGGGAGGTCTTCCCAGGACAGAGGGGGGAACGAGTAGGGAGGAGGCACGAGGATGGGGCAGGAGGGGAGAAGGGACGGGATGCTGTTGCGTCCGACATTTGGGGCTCAAGAGAAACATCTTTCGGCCTGCGTGAGACATCTATAAATGTATGTGTGTACGTATGTATATAGATACACACATACATCTACATAGTAGGTGTGTGCATATGTATACACGAGATCACATGTAATCAAGCGTGGACCTCAAGTAACTTATTCTAGCATACTCTGCGATGTGATATGTGCGATGCAGCCCGCGCAATACAATAGATCCAGTGCAGCCCATACAGTGCCAATCCATGCGAAACAATCTCCGAAACAGAATCGATTTGACGCAACCGTCGCACCACACTGAATGCGCCACGTGCTTTGTGCCCGTCTGTGCTATGCTATGCTATACGAAACTCAACGGGGTTATGCTTAGCTATGCTGTCATAAGCCGTTCTATGCTGTGCTATGCTATGCACGAGGACGAGTGCAAGTGGACGAGCGCAAGAGGCGGCAACGGACGTCGGCGTTGGGCGGCGACGGGCGGCGACGAGCCGGCTGGACCGGCACCAGCGCCCGGAGCGGCACCGGGGCCCCTGAGTGCAAGCACAGCTTGAAGAACAAATGTATCGGTATGTTTGCCAGCGTGGACCCCAAACAAAATGTATTGCACTGTGGATGTGCAAGCTATGCAGTCTATGCTATGTGGCGGAAAAGGCGGCAACGAGGCGACAACGAAGAAACACCAACCAGGCACCAGCCGACATCCCGACACACCCACTCAGCGCACGAGGCGGCAACGAGGGGGCACCAACTGG